ATTTTGTTCTCCCAGCCAGCTGGGGTATTTGTATGGGCCAAGATGGCTCATTAAGTAAGTGGGCTTTTTGGTTGAGTCAATAGGCTACTTTTGGATTGGGCTATTTTGGATTGGGCTATTTTCATTAAACGTTTGGGCTTTTGGTAAGGTTCATAGGCTATTTTGACTGGGCTATTTTTTCCTCTTGTGCTCACCCACATGTTTGGGCCTAAGAAATGGGCTTGAGTCCTGAGGCTCCCAAGCGACTCGGGGCTTCCATTTCTCGGCCCATCAATGGGCCTCATGTTGATTTATTACCATCCATACCACAACCCACTCAAGCAAGCCCCGGGCATTTGAGTGGCTTGGGCCCACTTAAGCTTGTAGCGTGACGTGGTGCTTATTTGCTTGGCGTGGCATGTGTGCAAGCGCATATGACGAACTTTCGCGTGCCCTAATCGGGCTTCTCCTCGGTAAGGTATTGCATTGGGCCGAGAATTTATTTGGGTCGAACCGTGAATTTTTTGGGCCTCAACAGCGTGCAAAGAAAGTTTCCTTCCGACGAAGACGAAGACGAAGATGGTGATTTGGAGATGAAGACGAAGATTCAGACGATGATGCTGCTTTTGGGAAATGAGAGGGAAACTACGATATTTTATCGGTGAGAGAAAACCGTAGAATATTAGGTCAGGTGACGAAAATTTTATATATTTTCCCAGAGTTCAATACAACGATGTTTTATTACAAAACCACCGTATTATTTAGTTATAACTACGGTAAATAATTCATAACTGACGTGGTTATCACAACTGCCGAACGACTGTTGGAATTCCGATGTGGTTATGACGGTGCTTTTTTTTTATCTAAACTGACGTTGTACTTCGAAATTCAACGACTATGTATTTTAATAAACCGACGTGGTTACTTTGGGGTTCTGAAAACGACGTCGTTCTCTTTTTAATACGTGCCAAATGACTTTTGGATTTCCGATGTAGTTATGACGGAGCTTGTTTATCTAAACTGACGTTGATTATTCAAATATGACGTCGCTATGTATATTAGAACCGACATGGATATTTACGATAATTTGTTTAAATATGATTTTTTCACGCGTTTTTTAACTCTCAGTTTTCAATTAGGGTTCCAACTTCTTCTTGCCCTTTGCTCTGTCTCATCAAATTCTAAAACCAGCTTGCATATGAGAGGAAGAAACAGTTGAACAAGCTGAGGGTGAAGGCAGAAAAGAAACCACGATGTATTTGCCAAATTTGTGTACATATATTGTGTAAATATTGATCAATATTTAACACGAAGAGATTTGCCTTTTAAGATGAAAATGTTGTTGAGGATTGAGAATTAAATTTTGTTTTGTGTTAAGAAAGATATTACCAAAATAAAAGAAAAATTAATTAATTTTAAAAATCTATAAAATTAAGACGGCGGTTTACAGAGAAGGCAGATGTATAAATAGAAAAAATACGATGGTAATTTGAACTTAGGACGTGGTAAATAAATACGACAGT